TCGAAAATCAAGGACTCACAATTATCTGTCACATTAAGGTTGGGTTAAATTGTATTGAGCGAATTTTTTTTCAAATTACTTTGGTATGTTTATAACAATTCTTTGGGGAAAACTCGTAGCACGATTTAATTTCTTAAAGAAATAAAATAATTCGCCAAAAAAAAAAATAGGAAGAAAATGATAGCAAAATATAAAATGTTGAGGATAAAAAAAAAGTATAAGTTTATAAAAGTTCGGGCCGAATAATTATACCGTGACTTCACGGCTAACAGTTACTATATCGATGCATTTGATTGGTGGATATTGCCTTTTCGTGGCAAAATATGAATCTAATCATCGCCATTAATTTATGTTTATATTACTTGAAAAACTTCATAATCTAAAATCTTTAAAAATCGGAGCTTTAATAATCTAAACCTGAATATAATTCGAATTCTAAAATTATTTTCAATACCGTTAACTATTTCAATAACATAGGATGGTCCAAATTTGAATCGTAATAATACACATGATGTATTCTTATAATGTATCCCGAATTGATATCTTCATTCTTTTTAAACTATATAAAAAAAATATCGAATCAAACCCACAAGCTCGCTGGATTATAATCACCGATTAACTTACTAATTTCTGCAGTTTTGAAATCATATTTGACCTTTTTATCACACAACTCGTGAAATTTTCGCTTCTCTACTGTTCCGATAAAGAAGCTTAAATGAATAAGAACTGCTTAAAATATTATATAATGATTCGTCTTTTCTACCAATCCAACTTGGAAAATATCGCTAAATTCTAATTTTTGAAGGTAATGTGTGTGAGAATTAAATCATGAATTTTTTTCCAATCTTCAAAATCTTTTGTTATTCAGTAAGATACTATATCAATTGCCAATGTAGTAGACATTTTTTAAATATCCCATTTGAGAATATAATTTCAAATTTCAGATTGTTCCATTTCAAGTTTATTTTTTAAAAAAAAAAGAATAATGAGACTTTTTCTATTGATGCAAATATTGTAGATTCGAAAAGAACATCAGGATATTTACAAATCTCTTCAAACAATAATTCCTTAAAGCTTCAAAAGTTTCATAATGAAATATGATTCGAACATTCCAAATGGTTTATTTCTTAAATATTTAGCTGGATAAATGGTCATATAAGATTGAATATGATTTCTTAATTTGGAAAATTCAACTTGTCTATTACAATTAAATATTTTTAATTACAATTTGCTTTTTATTGACATAAAGTTAATATTATTGTATCAATGACGAATTGTAAATAAAAATGATGAATTTATTATCATTTAAAATTAAGTTAAAATTATATGCATTTTTATTCAATGTGAATTTTAACAGACAATATATCATATGTAGATAATATTTGACTTTTACTATTTATCTTGTAAGAAGATGCTTCTTGTATAATCGATATATATATTAAAAGTTCTTATTAATAATTAAGCATCAAATACTTTGAATTCATTTAAATTATTGAACTATATGAATCGCTAATGTTTGAAATATATTCAGAATGAATAAAAATATACTCTAAATAAATCTTTACTTTTAAAAAGCCAGTAACTATAAATGACTTAGGTGTTTGATATGTAAGAAAACTATTACACAATTTTAAACTTTACCGCGGTAAAGAATTCTATCATTCTTAACTATCATGCGGTTAAATATATTTTGACAAACTCAGAAAATATCTTCTTGCAGCATTCATTTATTTTTTATTACCACTTATTTTTCGTTATAACTACAGTATATGAATGAACTTTTAGTTATTTATTTATACCTTATATTAAAGTCTATCTAAAAACTTCAAATTAAATATTCTCAACAAAAGTTTACACTTATTAACCACATGAATGAATAAGGATCCAATATTAAAAAACTCATTCATCTATTAATCCTCCAAAATTTTCGTCATCCTTATCAAATACATCACTGTAATCACAATTAGAATTCCCAGTAATCCTTTCTATATAGTTAATCTTTTTAGATTTGTATGATTCATTTAATATTACAATTATATTAATCATATTAATTATTAAATTTAGGCAAGAGAATATAAAAGATAAAAAGATAAAAAATATTACCGCCAATAGATAAAGAGAGTATAATCTTTAATATTAATAATAATTATTTAAAATAAATTTAACATTTAATTCGATAAAAAAAATATGAAAATAATCAAAACAAAGTAAAAAAATATATACCCGGATAAGTACTTGAGGAATTTCTTTGAAGAATAAATTAAAGAAATTTCCAATAATAATTGTATTTAAAGTTTTTTCAGAAAATTTAGCATTAAAAACTTCATATTCAAATAAAGTTAAAACTTCAATATCGGCTCCTGCTAATAAAATTATTAATGATATTATTTTCATATTATTTTTTGACCATTCTAAAAATTCCTCATTTTTTCGTTCTTTCATTATAATTGAAAGTATCCATCCTAAATCAACAAAAAACGGTAATACAATACTTAAAGGAAAAATTATACTATTTAAATTATTGAAAGTTTATAATTTTTTCAGAAATTTATAGAAATGATTTTTTACCTAAGGAAGAATGAACATGAATTTATTTCGCTTAAACCGCTTATACTACAAAAAGAATATAAAAAAATTTATTATTGAAATTTATAATTTAATTTTAGAACTTTATTTAGAAATGATTTATTTACCCTGCATGAACTAAATGAATAATAATAATAACAAAGTCAAAAACAAAGCTAAACATAAGATTTAATTGTAAAATTTTAATATTCTTTGCCTAATTAAAAAAAATATGTTAGCATTTGATTTATTTTAGTTCAAATTATAGTCATGATAGTTACCTCACTATTTTTACGTTTAGCCCACAAGAAAAGTAAGGGCAGTATGCACACGTATATTATTACTACAATGTGCATTGGCTGTAGAATTGGATTGGAATCTATTCAAAATTTAAATCATATATGTCGTAAATTCTCCTTACATAAAAAATAATAACTCTCATAAGATAACGAATTCTTACAACTAGATACATATCTATCTATATATCTTGAAGCTCTACCGGAACCAAAAACAGTTACATTTTTATACATAATTAATAAATATAAATAATAAGGTGTATCTCTACGTGTTGTGTCATAATCATTAATATAAATTGATATTAAGATTTGTTTTGGAATGACAGACGTGTATATTGTCTTTTTATTAGTAGTTATATTAATTGATTTGTCGAAAAGTGCATCATTCAATTCTTGTAATAAATTCGAGTAAAAATCTTCGCGATCGGTTTTGTTTAGGTTGTCAAAATAATTTGTCCCTTCTGGAGTCAATCGAACATATCCTTCAATGACATTTTTTGGTATTTCAAGGAGTTCTTTTTCTACGAAGATGACAAATATTTGAATAATTTTGAAATCACTTGAAATCAGAGAAATTATATAGCACATACCTGTTTTAAAATACCATACACGTTCTTTTACACCAACGAGCGACGTCTTGTTAATTCTGTCCTTTACAAAATCATCATCAATTGAGACATAGTAACTTTCATCAGATATCAATATAGGAATTATTCTAACATGAACAGTAATTCCGTCCTCATCTAGAGTTACATATTCGTTGTTTATTCCAGAAACGATTTGAAGTTTATTCCCACGATTGTGAAAAATTGTAATATTACCAAGCGATAAGTCAACTTTATCATAATAAGTTATTGTAAGAGAAAATGTATCGTATGGGATAATATCATTAATTTGCGGAAATGTGGTATTAATATGTGAATTATAATATCCATGATCTAGAAAATTTTGTGAATTTATTGGCAAAATTACCAATGAAATGATTGATAAGATTATATAATTATTAAAGATCATTATCTTCATTTTGAAAAAAAAATTCTTGGAAGTTTAATTCATATAATTTTTCAATTATTAAAAAATAAATAAATATTCATGAAAATACGAAGAATTTTTATATCATTTGGATTGTGAAAAAGAAATTATACTTTTTTTTTCTAAAAAAAGTTTATTTTCGCATCCATTGGCTGATTCATAACAATTGTAACCAAATGCGAATATGTCCGAAATGATCATTTAGTATATCCCAATCGGATTGCGCAATTCCCAAATGGATCATTATTAAATTGCAATTTTACGATCAATTGGGAAAGTCCGAGGTGATCATTTAGGATATGAAAACGGCGATTAATTCTTTTTGTTCCGAAATGATTATTTCGGATAATTCAAATTAGTGTGTTACCTCTGGATTTCTTAAAGTCTTTACAGTAAACTAGACTTCTACGAAATTTCAGGTATTATATTTACCAAGTAAAAGTTAGTATTCAAACCATAAAGGTATGAAGATATTATGATTCCCTTTTTCATTTTTTTTGTTTAGATTCTATAGTGTTGTATTCAATTCTTTCGTTTATGTATTATAAACAATTTGTAAGCAGAAGGTATTAATTGAATAAAAATGAATATTGACGCTAAATTTATTTAATATTATCAATTAGCTCAGTGTTGCCTCAACGTCAGCGCTTTATACTTTCGCTATGTCAAAATATTAAAACTAAGTGTATAAGTCAATTAATTAGAACTACGTTATTACAAATAATTACATAAAATTTGAATAATAACATACTAATAAAATCGGAAATTAAAATAAACGAAATACAAATGCGAAATTTAAAAAGTTAAAACGGCGAAAGCAAAAATATCGCGAAGGTGTTAAAGGAAGGATTTCGAAGTGAACGTATGCAAATAATTATAACAAGGGCGAACGTGGAATTTTGAGCTGTTTAAGGATTTCCGGCTTGTATATATAAAAAAATAATTAGGTCAGCCTGGCATCCTTGACATCCAGTAATACTGGCACCTTGACAACCTGGCGCCCTGACAGCCTGGCAAATGATCTTCAAATGGCAAATATCGAAAATGATTCTCATGTGGAATTATGAGATTTCGGCTGGAATTACGTTCAATTGTAACATACCTCTTTTAATTTACAAGCTCCTGCGAGTGCAACAGTTCGAGTTCTTGTTGCCTTTGCTTTCTGACTTCTGTCATTAATTGCTTATAGAAGTCATTTTCTTTCATTTCGGCTAGGTGTTTTGGTCGCATGTATTGAAATTGAATAGTGTATAAACTAGAGATTCCTCTTGCAGAAAATAATTCATATGTTTGTCGCATAATTCGCTTCAATTCCTATATCTTCACATGGAAAAATGTTGTTAAAAGAAATTTTTTATCCTCAGAGATCAATCCTCTCATTATTATCGTTTGCCAAGATAATAATAGGCTTCAAAGCATTATATAGATGCGCTTATACGAAAGTCTTTATTAGTGATAATTTGGATCAAAGTATTCTTTCAGCTGGTTAATATAACTTGAAAAATCAATTATTTCTGAAGTAGAGTAGCTAAGTCTTTTAAGCATCTTTTAATTACTGTTTCATTCAAATTTCTTGTAATATTGTTTGAATTAGAATATCCATTGTGTGTTCGTTATTAGAGAAAGAAACTATTAAAGAAGTAACATGGAAAGCTTCATTATCATTTACTTCCTTTTGCCATATTTTTAGAAAGTTATTGAAAGTATCTCTTAAATTCATAGAGTGTTCTCCACTGAAAAAAATCGAATTATAACCTGAATGATAAATATTGATAATAATATAAAGTGAAAAAAAAATAATTATTGTATTTATTAATATTTAATAAACTATTACATAAAATAATAAATTTATAAAGTCATGCTTATAGATGCCTACTGAAACCTCCTCAAAATAATTTCGTCATACCCTTTTCTATGTTTTTAATATAGTTTCGACAGTTTCGGCTTTCGTCGT